CACAGTATTCACTTAAAAAGCCGGTACATACTAGTAATCTCTATGTTGGGGTGTAATGGCAGATTGATCTGGTGCTAGTTCACCAGCTAGCTTGGTCAGTAAAACACAAGTCCCAGTGACACACTCTTGTGTGTCTTTTACACACACATTCATTCTCTCTCTCTCTCTCTCTCTCTCTCTCTCTCTCTCTTTGGTTTTTGAGATAGATTTTCCCTATGTACCCCTGGCTGTCCTCGAACTCCCCATGTAGACCAGGCTACCTTTGCCTCCTGAGTGCTGAGATTTAAGGAATGCACTACCACACTCAGTTTAGGAACCCATCTTTTTTGTTTGTTTTTCGAGACAGGATTTCTCTGTGTAACCTTGGCCGCCTGAGTGCTGGGATTGAAAGTGTGTGCCATCATCATCACCCACCCCGTAAGCAGTCATTTTTTCTGATATTGTGGGTTTTGCTTGGTCTGAGGTCATAGTTCTTGGCTCTTCTGTGTGACAGTCAGCTTCCTCATCCTCATTGACATGTGATGCTCCATGGGTCACAGCCATCCCTGCTGTCCCCACTCTGTGCTAGTCCTGGTGCTGGAATGTGCTAAGCTTTACCATTAAATCACCATTTCTCTCTCTCTCTCTTTTTTTTTAAAGTGGATATGAAGAATGACATCTGAGGTTGACCTCTGAGCTATACACACAGTTTTTTCCTGCTTCTAATTTGATGTTGCTGGTATTTAAAACCAGCATTGATTTTTTTTTTAAAGTTTTATTTATTTTATATATGTGAGTACACTGTTGCTGTCTTCAGACACACCAGAAGAGGGCATCAGATCTCATTACAGATAGATGTGTGTCATGATGTGGTTGCTAGGAATTGAATTCAGGTGCTCTGGAGGAGCAGTCAGTGCTCTTAGCTGCTGTGTAACTTTGTTTCAAATGCCTATTTTTCATGATGTTCTTAAACACTTTAACTTCCCTTCTAGCCCACCACCCACCAGAGGTAGTGAAAAAGAAAGGATATGGGAAAAGTGGACCTGTCTAGAAAGGCTCTTTGGAGCAACTCTTATCTGTGTTGTCTGGAAATCATCAGTTCAGTTCACAGGTTAGCAGAAGCAGCTCAATCAACTCCCAAACACTTCACAGATACATCAGCAATCCAGTTCAGTAGAATCAAGATAGCAAACATAAATCAGCAGTGGTGGCACTACCTAGCAGAGACAGCCAGGCCTCAGACTCAGCATGAGTCAGCAGGAGGAAGCCAGAGGGACACCAGGAAAAGTTCTTGGCTGTGCCTCTCTCAGCAAAGACAGAAAACCAACATGTAAGGGGTGGCTCTGACGCTTTAATCGGGAACCTGTGTGTCAATATACAAAAGTCCTTGTAGCCAGTTGGTTCTTGATTGATCAATAAAGATGCCAGAGGCTAATGGCTGGGCGGAAAGAAAGATGCAGGACTTCCAGATTCCCGAAGGCTAGGAGAGAGGGGAGGGAAGGAAGAGGAGAACCTAGATATTTGGGAGAGAAAGACAGAACAGGCTTGTAGCTGCAGGGGAGAGCTTCCAAAATGTAGGCAGAAAGGGAAAGCAGCTTGTAGAAGGGTAGCCCAAAAGCATCTTGGGCAGCAAGACCAATGGGCTTCACAGAAGGTAACCAAACAATTACACTGAGGGCAGACTTAGAGGTGTTGAGCTAGGAGTAAAGGGAAGGGCATGACAGTAGTGGGAAGCTTAGAAGAGCCCAGTCACTGAGCCAGTAAGACAGGTTAACAATGAGCTAATGTGTGCATGTCTTTTTCATCTGCAGATCCAGAGATTCCCTGGGCAGGTAGCTGGAAGCACGGCCTGCTCCTGGTGTAGCCAAAAACTCCTGCCACACCCACAAGCATTGTACAGCTAGCTCCATAAGCAAGCCTAGCTCCGCCTCCATCACTGTCTGTGGAATCCTATTTATACCCTCCAAACATCACATGTCCTCCACATGTCTTGCCTCAGCACGTGTGTCTGTCTCAGCTGACATCACTCTGCCAATCAGCCTGAGTCCGTGGGGAAGTGGCAAAAAACTGCAGCACACCACCAGAATAATTTTGGTGTATTTCTTTCTATGGAGCCCCAACAAATGCAGCTCAACTACGCAACATAAGATGGACCAATGCATGTGTGTTGTTAGCAAAGAATCCTTCATCAGGTGTCCTTTCACATGCTTGCTTTAGCAGAACATCCTTTCACCTATGTCTGCTTCAGTTAAACATTCCTTCACGTGTTTGCCCCAGCAATATGTCCAACCAACTTTCCAAAGAACCCTTAAGTTTTCACTTCACTGCTGAGCTAACTCTATAGCCCCAAAACACACTTAAATACTTTAACCTTCCCCCCAGCCCCCCCCCCACTCCCCCACCAAGAGGTAGTGGAAAGGAAAGGTTAATAGGGCAAAGGAGGATGTGGACCTGTTTAGAAATAGTTCTTGGCAGCAAATCCAATCTGCTTTGTCAGGATATCAGCAGTTCAGTTCACACAAATCAGCAATGGTAGCTTAATATACTCGCAAACACCATTTGAGAATAAGCAATGGCAGTTCAATCCAGAAGAAACCGCAGGGTCTGCCAATCAGCCGGAGTACATGGAACCTGATGAGAAGCCGCTCGAACACCACCAGAAGTTCTTTGCTGCATTTCTCTCTATGAAGTCACAACAAATGATGACCAGCAAAGAGTGCAAAGGGAACCAATACCACACAGTGTCCACTGTCCATTGGATTATATTTATGTCCTTTGAGAACATCATGTGTTCTCTCAAGCATCAGCTCTAGCAAAACACCACATGCCCTTCTCCAGGCTGCCTCCAGAAAAACATCATGTCTGTTCTCAGCAAAACATTCTCCCATGTGTCTGCTTCAGCAAAAAACATCTTCTCATAAGACAGTTTCCAGAAAAATATCACGTGACACAACTAAGTCTCCAAAGAAAAGTCTTTGTGAGATAATTTCAACATCTGTGTAATCTCAGAGCTAGAATTTGCTGTTTGTCACTTCTCATGTGAATTGAAATTTTCCTTGTCCTTTTCTGCTGAGTTACTTTGGATTTTATCCTATAATTCAGTATTTCATTAGTCTCATTCATTCATTTGATGAGTAAACATTTCTTGACTATTGGACGGCTTTGGTTGAAATCCAGGGCACTAGACTATGTTTGGTGGCACATGCCTAAAATTTCAGCACTTAGGAGGCAGAAGGGAAAAGATCAGAAGTTGAAGGTCATCTTTGGCTATACAGCAAGTTAGAGGAGAGCCTGGGCTACATGAGACCCTATGTCAGAAGGTAGAAAGAAAAGAAGGAATCTAGAACACTGAAGTAAATGCTTGGGTTAGCCATTTTATGTATGTGTGTGCATGTGCATGTGTGTGCCTGTGTGTGCATATGTATATGCAGGTGTATTGTGTGTACATGTATATGCATATGTATTTGTGTGTGTGTATGCATGTGTGTGTCTGTGTGTGCATATGTGTATGCAGTCGTATTGTGTGTGCACATGTATGCATATGTATTTGTGTGTGTGTGTGTGTGCACTCACACATTGCTAGAGAGATTGAACCCAGGGCCTTGGGCAAGCACTCCTACATTGAGCTACTTCCCTACCCAATATCTAGCTCTTATTGAGCACATACAATGTGCCAGGCATAGATCTTAGCATTTATAGGAAACTTCCTAACCTCAATATAGCCCATGCATGAGTAGGATGCTTTTGCATTTTACAGAAAGGAAGTTGTGGGAGTTAAAAGTAGCTGGTCACATAAACTACCACCTATATTGCAAGGCCTTACTAAACATTAGTCATTTTATTTTGTTCTGCAGGTAGTTACATCATCTAGATGATACCAGGTCCTGCCAGACCCATCAGCAAAGGGGTTCCGGTTGGGTCACTGCAAAGACACCATTCTCCAAGAGTAGACTAAGGACCCCTGAGAATCCTGGTCCCAACTCAGTCTTTGGTAGAGCTCCTACCTCTGCCCGAGATGCCTCCAGCTACGGTAGAGTACAGGGGGGAAACAAAGGTTCGATCCCCATTGCTTAAGACCTGAGGGGGGCAACATTTGATGTCAAGAAATTCATTAAAAGTAAGCGATTAAATTTAATTGCTGAAATTAATTAAAAGTTAATTTAAACACACACAAACACACACACATATGGCCAATCCTATGCACCCATCTGTGAGAGAGGGATAAGGCTCAGGAGTGGCAGGTAGCAAGTGTCATTTCCACTCTGTGTGAAATCTTGATCATCATCCACTTGGGCCATCTGATATGTGGCTATTAGTGTCATCTGTCCAAAGTCAGCATCTAGACAGCAATCTAACCCAGCTAACCCCTGTGCAGCCCACCAAGGGTGGCCTCACATACACATAGTTTTCTGTTCCTGTTTCCTACAGGTAGAGGCCAATGTTCATAGCCTTTACATTCTCCTACATCCTGACCCAGTATCCAAACCTTGCAGATACTGCAGCCTACAAAATCCACTAAGCAGAGAAGGGCTGGTGTTCTTCACATAGGCATAGGCATCCACTCACCTGTGGTCATTCATAGGAGAAGTGGAGTTTGCAAGTCAGCTGCTAGCCAGATCAAACAGCCAGGGGGAGGTCACACTTCAGGGCTCCTAACCCTGGCTTTCCAATATGAGTCGAAACTCAGGGACAGGTCATCTGGAGCTGGACAGTGATGTAGCCAGCTTCACTAGCAACCTCAGAGGAGGTAAGAAAGGATGAGGCGTCTACCCTGAGGTCATAGCAAACTGTCTGCACAGATGCTGGGGACAGCCTGTGGACAAAGCCCTATAGCCCCTTTCCACACACTAACCTGCACCTGTAGAGATCAGAGGACAATTTTGTGGAGTCAGTCCTCTCCTCCCACCTTTATGTGGGATCCATGGGCCTAATTTAAGTTACCAAGTTTGGAAGGCAAGTGGCTTTACCTGCTGGACCATCTCACCAGACAGCATTTTTCCATTTTAAAGAAAGAATATCCCATGCTTGCTTCGGCAGCACATATAGTGAAATTAGAACAATGCAGAGATTAACATAACCCCTGCCTAGGAACAACATGCAAATTCATGAATTATTCCATATTTACAAGAAAAATAAGAATATCCCAAAGCTGGCATAAGAGTACATGCCTGGGACCTCTGCACGTAGGAAGCTGAGCAGAAGACTCACTTGAGCTCAAGAGTCTGAAGCCAGCCTGGATAGCGGAGTGAGAACTCATCTTGTATAGGAAAGAAGGGAAGGAAGAAAGAAGGAATGGAGGGAGAGGGAGAGAGAGAGAGACAGACAGACAGATGAAAGACATTCCCTTCAGACTCTACTACAGATGCTGATACTTGATGCTGAGAATGAGATGGGGTGATTAGGCAGGCCCAGATCATAGCCAAGGATGGCCTGGGAAAGACAGAAGGCCTTATGGTCCAGCTGGGGATCATCGGCAGCTAGTCCCCTACTGTGAACCTCCACACTGAAGCCTCCCCTAGCCATATCCAGCCGTCATCTTTCTGTTTTCTAACTGCAGACATAAGATGACCAAGCTGTCTCATGTTCCTGCTGCCATGATGTCCCTCCGCAGCAAACTGTACGCTTCACTAAGTTACTTTGGTCGGGTCGTTTGTCATGACAATGAGAAAACTATTAAGATGTAAGGGTTACTTACAAAAGTGAAGGTGACTCAGGCAGCTCAATCACAAGGCTCATATCAGCCTGGGTGACAAGTCATGGAAGCCACTTGAGTTTCTTGGTTGTGGTCAACTATGCTGGAGCATCCCCTTGTCTCCAGCAATTGGTTACAGCTTATACAATCCTGGAGAAGAGTGTGGTGAGTGTTGTTAAATCTCTCGTGAGTTCCTGGAACTCTCTTGTAATTGTTTCGAGACAGGGCTTCTCTATATGGCCCTGGCCATCCTGGAACTAGCTCTGTAAACTAAGCTGGCTCCCAACTCACAGAGCTCTGCCTTCCACTGCCTCCCAAGTGCTGGGATTAAAGGCGTGTCCCACCAACAGCAAGTCTCTTGTATTCTTGGGGAGGTTTTGTTTTTCGTTCATCTCTCATACAATACATCCCCACTGCAGTCTCTCTCTCCCCTTCTCTCTCCCCCATCTCCCCTCTTTCCCAGATCCATTGCTCCTCTATTTCCCTTCAGAAAAGAGTAGGCATAAGAAGATGCAATAGAACTAGGCATATATCCTTTACTTTCTTTCCAGAGGGAATGTTTCCCTAGGGGAAATAGCTAATACTCACTGGAGATGCCCATGCACTTGATCAGGACAGTCCAGGGTAAGTCAGAGTCTGAAGTACATGACGCCATGAAGCAAGCCTGGTTTTGACAGAGGTTTCACTCTCCTGGTGTCACCTGGACTGGCCTTATCAGTGGTCTTACTCACTGTACTGCTGTCATGTCAACCACCTTCATCTCTCTTTCATTATACCTTATCCGTCTCCTTTATGGCCTCTAAACCAGCACCCCCTACTGGGCCATTTCTTGTCTGGTTTTCCCGAGCCTGGATCAATGTTTGCACAGAGTAGGTCTCAACAAATCCAAGCAAAGGTTCCTAGCCGAAGCCTCCTTGAGACCTCAGGGACATGAGAGTCTTCTCCTGGGGTCCACCTAGTCTAGGTTCTCCATGAGCCCCCATGAAGTCTAGCATCTTTGGTTATAAGAGAAGCATCTTGCATGAAGCTGTCCCACGGTCCTCCCTGTCCCCATGGAGGTCTGGCAGAACACTGACTGCTGGGAAGAGAAGGATGGTGGCCAGCCCTAGAGCTCCAAGCACTTGATTCCCCCAAACATGAGTCTCTGACCAACAATGCAGGCCTCTGCCTGATGCTAGCTACTAGAGACTGCCTCTGTTTGAACTCTCTCTGCCCCCAAGGCTTCGTTTGTACTTTGTTTTCCATCACTTCTCTCCAAACAGAACACAGGTTGAAAGAGACAAGACGGCTCCTCAGCTTACCAAGGGCGGGCTAGTCCTTACAGGACCGCTTGGGGGCTCCAGGCACCATCCAGTGCGCCCAGAAAACAGAGATTGCGATAGTCAGGAGGCACGCGGGGACAGCTGCCCCTTGTGCTTACTTGTGTTAAACATATCCACTCAGTCAAGGATCGGAGTGAGGTACGTGGAAAATAAAGCCTACGGGGACCGGCGCCAGCAGCAGACAGCAGCAAGTAAAGGGAACAAAAACACCATACAGGCTGGACTACGTGGGGCCACGTCCGAGAGGGTGGCACAAACTGAGGGGCACTTGAGATTCTTTAACCTCTTCTATACGTGTTCCAGTTCGAACCAGGTGGGAAAAAGGCAGCAGAGCTGGCTTCGCCTGGAGCGGGACCACAGATGGTTGATCAAGGCGGTTAGGGCCAAGATGGAACTTTGCAGAACCTAACATTGCAGAAGGTGGGGCGGATCCTTGCTCGGCTCGGGGTGGAGTCTAATAGGGAAGGGCGGGACCACTTCGTGCTACCGCGGGTCTAATAGGAATCAGGAGAGCTCAAAAATCTCATGGGTGGGGCCGCCGTGAAGGGGGAGGAGCCTTGACGCGCTCTCCGCCCCACAGTGAGGCGTCTGTTGCCGTGCAGAAAAGCAACTAAGTACGCGCGTGCGCATAGCGCGCGTGGGTCCTAAAGTAGTGTTTCGTAGGTTATCCTTGCAAATGGGATCCGTGGCCTAGCGCCCCAGCCGTTGCCACCCGTGACCTTGCACCGAAACCTGCAAGGAGGGGTCTCCGCCGAGGTGAGGGCAGCGGTAGTAGTGGTGGTGGCGTCGGGTGGTGGGGTGGGGGAGGCGCGTCTTCTTGGGGCCAGGAGCATACAAAGCTCCTTTGTCTCACCAGCCCGGTTTGCAGCCGGCCCGGGCTGGTTGGAGCCGCCTGGAAGCCAGGCACTGTCAGGACCCGGGGGACTCGGAGTACACTCCAGTGTGCAGTGATCAGGCCCACATTCTGCCTTCTTCTCCGCAGCGCCTCGGCCCTGAAGCATGGCAGCCATCCCTTCCAGCGGCTCGCTCGTGGCTACCCATGACTACTATCGGCGTAAGTAGCCCCTCGACAGCCCCGCCCAGGGCTGGCCCAGGGCCCTGTGGCTGACCCGCCTCCCCTTCCCAGGACGCCTGGGCTCCTCGTCCAGCAGCTCCAGTGGAAGTGTCGAGTACCCGGGGGACGCCGTGCCCCACTCCCCGGGTGAGTGCAGAACCATCCAGCAGAAGGGCAGAGTTCATGTCCTAAGGCGGGAGTGGAGTGGGTTGGGGACGGGGGATGTGGAGCGTGTAGAGGGACTGGACCCCATCGTGACCCTCCTTTGCTCCTCAGGTCTTCCCAAAGCCGACCCAGGCCACTGGTGGGCCAGCTTCTTTTTCGGGAAATCCACCCTCCCATTCATGGCCACAGTGTTGGAGTCTCCTGAGCAGTGAGTCCATCTTCCATGTGGTTGTGGGGGTGGCCTCAATTAAAGCGGATGCTAACCCAAAGACTATGCTCTCCCTACAGCGCGCCAGAATCCCCCCAGGCCTCCAGAAGCCAGATCACCTGTGGCCTGGCTCCTGAAACCATGAAGAAGCAGCCAGTCGTCCATCCTGGCCAGACCAACACCAGGGCCCCGTCCTGACCTGTCAGAATCAGCACCCTGCCCAAGCTTAAGTGGTGCTGGGCCAGAGCCTACCCTCTCAACCCTCCCTGTAAACTGGGAAGGCTGAAAAACAGACAGCAGCAGGAGCTGGAGAGAGCCCCCTCTTGGTTCACAACACTGAGCTTTCCTGACCCCATGACTGTGTCTTGCACAAAGCAGAAAATAAACTCACAGCAGTCTTCCTCCCCTGGTGTGTTTGAGACATTACTGAATCCAGCCTTGCTTCCTGCTGGATGCTGTACTGTTCCCAGGCCCTGACAGCTCCTTTGAGACCCTTCCCAGTGATATGCCCTCTCGAGTGGGCCTGGCCCAAGGTAGACAATCCAGGGAAAGCTGGGCCTCTGGCTAAGTTTGGGAGCTCTCAGCTGAAGGGACCCAGTTTCTACACAGGAATCTGGTGGATGACCTTGGGTCAGGCCCTCCTCACTACTTGTTGCATGGATGGTTCCTCAAGGCTGCGGATATCAGACTGAAAGAGGGTTCCAGCCACAGGTAGTCTAGCCTCTAGGTAAGAGGGCCTAGGAGCTGTGAGGGGTGGTTTACACCAGCAAGGTTAGGGTGGAGTCTTAAGTGTGGCACAGTAGGCCTTCCTGCTACCTCACCCTGTAAACAGCTGCACTCTCCCCAGGGAACTGAGGCCTGTGCCTCTGACAACTGAGCCTCCCTCTTGCCTGCCCTGAGGGTATTCAGGTAGCTTGTGAAAGGCTACCCTTTACTACTGAGCAAGTTGTCCTTGGAGGAGGCTCTTTGCACCTTTAGTGGACTCAGAACTGGAAAAGAGTTTTACATAGGCCAAGAATGTCCTGATGAAACCCACAGAGCTGCTCCTTGTCAGAGCTGGAAGCTAGGGACAGCCTACAGCTCTAGGCAACAAGGAGCATTGTTCTATCTTCCTATCTCTTCTGTTCCCATTTGTGGTTTCTCTGAAGTCCTGTCTGCTGTACGGCTGCAGCTGGCAAAGCTGAGAAGTGGGTATTTTAGTGACTTGCGGAAGGGTTAGAGAAAAGTTGTAGCATATAATCAAAAGTATCAAGAATGACCTTAAGACAGTAAAGGAAAGGGCTGGAGAGATGGCTCAGTGGTTAAGAGCACTGACTGCTCTTCCAAAGGTCCTGTGTTCAATCCCCAGCAACCACATGGCGGCTCACAACCATCTGTAATGGGATCTGATGCTCTCTTCTGGTGTGTCTGAAGACAGCTACAGTGCACTCATTTTTAAAAAAAAAAAAAAGATAGTAAAGAAAAGAATTTGGGATCTACTCTGGATCTTGAGTGATAAGAAACCTTTGAAGAGGTAGGCCTAGGGCTGGGTAAGCTATAGGTTCTGGAACAAGCCCTGAAATCTCAGCAAAGTCAAGCTAACACGTTTACAAGTGCCGTGTTGATTCATACAGCGCTGTCAGGCACCTGTGTTTGTTTGTAGTGCCAGGACTTTGTTCTCAGAAAGTGTGGTCAGGCCAGGCTGCCACATCCAAGTTGTACCACAAGGTTTTTGCAGCAGCACCTGTAGGTTTGGGTGCTTCCCTCTTTGAAAAGTCCCTGAGGCTTCTAAAAGTCAGCCTTTCTCATAGTAAGGCATTCTAGGAACCAGGCCAGTTCTTCCCACAAGGCCTGGCTACCGTGATGTCACCCTTAGTTACTGTAGTTACTCAGTCTACCTGGAGCTGAGGAAAAACCTCAGTTGGCAAAGGCTTGCCTTGCCAATGAGAAGACCTGAGTTTGAACTTTGGAATCTCTGTAAAAGCTAGATGTGGTGTTCACTACCTCAGTGCTGGGGGTGTAGATTTGTGAGAGTCAGTAGGCTAACGATGAGAGATCCTTTCTTTAAAAAATGGCACCCTAGGAACAACACCTGAAATTGTCCTGACTTCCACATTCAAATGCAGAGTACCTGGTAACACACTGTAGGTTCTTTAAAAAAAAAAAAAATCGGGGGAAAAAGATAAATATTTCACCTTTCACAAGGTAAGCTGGAAACGGAAAATATTTCCTCTAGAAAACAAATACTTCAGAACCAGCACAATTTAAAGTCATTTTTAGAAATTTAGCTCTCTGTCGTCTTTTTTCTCCAGCCTTTTCTCTCTTTTTTTCCACCCTACCCTCCACCCCGCCATCTCCATGTCGAATCTCCAGGCCTCCTTCCTTGGGGCCAGTGAACTTGTCAGAGAGCAGTTTCCCAATAGACATACCTTTAATATAAGCTTAAAAAGTAAAACATCCATTCACTGATAATGAATTCTCACTCTGACTTATCCCCCAGTTTCATGTATAGAAACACTGAGCCAGGCGATTCTAAGATAATGTGAACACTTGTTTGATGTAAACATCCGGAAGAAGTTTGAGACAGAGCTGATAGACACTTTTCATCTCCAAGAGTCAAAGTAAACATCTGTGGAAGAAAATCAAGCCTCTGCTAAAGAACTAATAATTTTCCGTGGGACGTGTTTAAGAGAAGTATAACTGATGATATCCCTGGATATACCAGATTTTCAGGAATTTTCTACAACTCATATGCATTAACACCCATAAGTACAACCTGGATGTTTCATGTTTTAATATTTGACAAGGCTTTTAATATAGCATATCAAATAAGCCCAGTTTAACAGGTTTCTTTTATGAAAGAAATCCTGAGGCTACAAGTCCCCCTCTAGAAACTGAAAAGTTGGTTTAGCGTTAGAATTGAATCTAGAGTTTGGTTTCAGAATTGTCAAATACTTAGTTACCTAACTAAGCAAACAAGATATTTGAAGGAAACCCAGGTTATGTGGTTATGAGCAAAATGTGTCCTTCAGTAATCAAAGACCACGTCACACATAACATGGAAGAAGCATGAGACTGAGTACAAATCCTAGGCTACTCACCTGAGTCAAACTAAGATTCCACAAACTTGTAAACAGACATCTTTCATAATGGCAAACTAGTTTTAAATCACTATACTATTACTAAAACTAATCCCTTTTGCGGGGAATATTTTAATAGAAGGTCTTGTATAGCCCAAGTTTGTAGAGAGAATCCCTGCACGGTGTAAAAACATTCACCTGTCAATAAAAACCCTTTGGTCAATGAGCTGAGGCAGGAAATAGGAGGTGGGAGTTCCAGCAGAGAGGGGAATTCTGGGAAATAGTAAGACAAGAGATTCACCCAGACAGAGAGGAAACTAACCAGTAGAACTTAGACTAGAATACACTGGATTATTGAGATATGAGCTAGTGGAGGAGCAGTCAATGTTGTTGGCCTAAACATTTATTAGTAAATAATTAGTCTCAGAGTCATTATTTCTGGGAACAGAATAGTCAGGAGGAAAAGGCCCACTGTTGCACAAGTTAGTCTTGAACTTTGTGGTGAAGATGCCCTGGAACCTTTGATTCTCCCTTCTACCTTCCATATACTAGAGACTCGGGTATGCACCACCACACCTGGTGTATGCACTGTTAGGGATGAAACTCAAGATGTCACGTGTGTTAGGTAAGTGGTCTACCAACTGAGCTACAGCCCCAGCCCCTAAGCTATTTAAAAGAACTCTTAAATCCTTTCAGTCCTTAGCTTTGACTACATGAGATAAGATTCCATTCCACCAGGCCTTCGGAAGACACATTGAAAGAATATCCATTAACAAGCTGGATGTGTTAATGTACACCTTTAGTCCCAGCACTAGGAGACAGAGGCAGGTGGATTTCTGAGTTCAAGGCCAGTCTGGTCTATAGAGTTAGTTCCAGGATGGCCAGGGCTGCACAGAGAAACCCTGTCTCAGAAAACAAAACAACAACAACCCATCAGCTTTCTCTTCCTATTTTTCTTTTTTTGTAATTTGGAACAAGTCCTATGTTAGCACCCAGTGATCATTCTCTCTAAATACTAATGTATAACCTTACCACAAATGCAGTTTTCCTTGTTATTTCTATTGGATCTAATTACATATATTGTCATTTTTAACTCTTAGAGTCCCTAGCACCCACGACCTATGGCAGCCAGCATGCCACTGAAGAAAACCTTCACAAGCACTGTAGCAACATGTCCTTCATTGCACAGATCTGCATACTATAGACCCAAGCACAATATCTCCATCCTGTGTAAAAACAAGAGGCCATAAACAGACCAGTCTAAGTTTGTTTCCTTAGGAATGACCCCAAAGCTGAATTGTTAAGTACATTTATCAAACCTGAACAAACTTAAGGTTGTAAGATGCCTTTTATAAAGTAAAATTACTGTCCAAACGTTCATTTAACTTTCACTACACTTGCATTCCTCTTCACTCAACAGTTACAAGGTATCAGCATCTAAACTGTTCTTGTTAATAAGTCAAGCAAACGTCACCAATACCACAGAAGCAAAGACCATCTCCTTTTCTCCTTCCTCTTCGTTCTGACCTTGGGTTTCATTTCTCCTTTTAGCATTTTAAATACTCAGTAGAATTAAACTTGTTTAAACCCTGGTAAGAAAACAAAGTCTATCTCAGTGGTTGACAAAAGGGGATCCTGTCTCCAAAAATATTCACAATTCATAACAGTAGCAAAATTACAGCTAAGAAGTAGCAACAAAAATAATTTTATGATTAGGGGTTACCACAACATGAAGAACTGTATTAAAGAGTGGCAGCATTAAGAAGGCTGAGAACTACTGGTCTGGCTATACTGTATTCATGTTGACAGGTCTGGAAACATTTCTGTTTTTTATTTTACCAACACTCTTAAAGATTATTCTAGATCGTGTAGTCTTTAAGAACATTTCACTTTGTTTCTATATTTCTGAGAGATTTTAGGGATATTTAATGAGCATTCATCCCTAGATTAGTCCAAACAAAACTGAAAGAGATTTTTTTTGTTTTTTATTTTGTTGTTTGTTTTTGAGTCAGGGTCACTCTACATAGCCCTGGCAGTCTTAGAACTATTTAGACCAGGCTGCCTCTAAACACATAGATACACCTGCATCTGCCTCCCAAGTGCTGGGATTAAAGGTGTGCACCCAGGGTTGTCCCCTCTGGAAGTGGAAAAGGACTCTACAAACAGCCAAATATACACAGACTCCATAGCTTTAATTTTAGAATGTTTAGTCCTGGTTCAGTTTATGCCCACTTGGATTTTTATACAAGTTGTGTTTTTATTTATTTTTGTTTTATATGAGACAGGGTCTCTCTGTGTAGCTCTGGCTGACCTGAAATTTGCTACGTAGACCAGGCTGGCCTCAAACTCACAGAGATCTGCCTACCTCTGCCTCTCAAGTGCTGGGATTAAAGATGTGCACCAACAAGCCCAGCCCAAATTCTGTTCTTGGTGAAAATTAAAGATTCAGTTACTAAAAGAGGGAAAATTTTTGACAAATGTCTATGTAAAAGGCTTAGTTTGAAGGGTTTTCATTTGCCCCGTTTCCAAACATTTTTCCTGTGCTCTCTCTCTCTAGTGACATTACACCCCTGAGAACTGCTTTACAGGAAGCAGTACAGACAGTGTCATCTCTAGGATACAGAGAGGACATTTCTATAAGGGAGGTTGCAGCATCTTCACCTGTTGTGAGAAGTCAGTCTGGACATGACTGGTAGACATGTGATCAGAGCGTCATGCCCACTTCCAGTAAGGTAGCCTCAGGAAGGTGCTTTTGGGGTACTCCCCCTCAGAACTGGGATTCTAATGTCCAAGAACATAAGGAGAGCAGATTGTCTGAACTTCATGGGTCAAGAATGAGTTCAAGAGCACTGAAGACACATCGGGGAAAGCAGCCTTGAACCAGAGCCATCTGGGAAAACTCCAGTCCAAATGGGAAGCAGAGGAGGACACCGAGCATGAGGGTATTCTTCCTCAGGGGCCCAGGGCAAAAACATCTCTGAAGGGAAAGGATCAGGAGCTCTAAAACTCAATACCACACTCACAAGCACAGAGTGAATTTGACTTTTGAAACAAGTACAGAGTCTCAGGCAGAGATACAAAATAGCTGCCTCTGCCCATGTGGTTAAGAATCCTGGCTCTGCCAGGCAGTGGTGGTGGCACATGCCTTTAATCCCAGCACTTGGGAAGCAGAGGCAGGCTGATCTCTATGAATTCAAGGCCAGCCTGGTGTACAGAATGAGTTCCAGGACAGCCAGAGCTACACAGAGAAACTTTGTCTTGGAAAAAGCAGACAAAACTCCTGGCTCTTACTGGCTCCATCATCTTCCCTCTGCTTCTGCAAACTCCGGGTGATTGGGTATCTCAAGCATCCCCCACTGGGCACCAGAAACCGCAGGGCAGAAATTTCATATTATTTTGTCTCTGCCTTGAGCTTCCTAGGTAAGACTCCTCCAGCAAAGCCAAGGTTATAAAGAGAAAACCATACAAACTTGTTCCGAGTTTTATGTGGCATAAGAATCCTGCAGAATTAAGGTGCTAAAGAGTGGGGTATATGTTTGTGGACAGTCAAGCTCCAAAAGTGATATGGCAAGAACTCTCCAAGGCCTGTTGCCTAGACTTTTCTTGGCTTCTCTGTCACATGAAGTCTTCACAGAAGAAGGGAAGAAGAAGCCGGAGTGTGACTTCCTGGATTTTGTGTACTGCCTCCTGGAGGAGGATAAATGGGAAAGAACATGGCTGCCTCTTTACTTTTTCCTTGACAACAGGCAGTATTTGAAGTATGCTTGATATCTTTCCTATCTTTTCATCTCAGTCAACTGAAGGATGGTGTGTGCCTTCAATAGAAGTCCAGGGTAATCATGAAGCCCTCTTCTGTGAGTCCTGGCCATGTCCAAGGAGCTCAGACCAGATTCTCATACTTGGTGATACCTGAGAGTTTCTCACACAGAGCTTTGAAGCAAGGTCTCTGCTTGGGGTCTCCGCTCCAACAGCAGAGCATCAGCTTGTGTATGTTGGGCGGGCACTCCAGAGGGCAGGGCATGCGGTAGCCGGCATCCACCCTCAGGAAGGTTTCATGATTGGACATGCCTGTGGTCCATGGGAGAAGAAAAATGAGAACTAGAAGACTGATGTCCACTCTCTGATCCCTGGAAGCCACACCCAGCTGTCTTTGGCTCTTCCCTGGATGCTGACCCCTGCTAGAATGACCACCATCATGCTCTGGACTTGTTGTAGCACACTGCCCATGGATGTTGCCTTCCCTGTGTACCCTGGAGACATCCAGGAAGCATGTTCCCAGATGCCCAAGGAATGGAATAGGGGTGGGGGTCTGGTTGGGCCCCTGGGAAGCACCTCCTGTCATCTCTGTCACCCATTCAAGACCTGCCCTGACTCCATCTCACTGCTTGTCCATCCCTGGAAACATTCTTGGGGGAATACCTGGATAGGGCACCTGCCCCCTGCTGAAAATTTCATGAAGGAGAACCCCAAAAGACCAGACGTCAGATTTGATGGAGTAATGCCCTCGGGAAAGTGCCTCAGGTGCTGTCCATTTGTAGGGGACGTTGTGCTCACGGGAAAGGTAGATGTCCTCCTGTAGTAAGATGTCTTATGATAGGACCTGACACTAGAGGGAGCTGCTACTTGTACCCTTCCTGTGTGGCACTGACAAGCATGGACTTCAAAGTCCTGGTGGGCAGGGACAACCACATTGCCTACTGCTATCTGACCCACTGACACCACCCCACTGCTACCGTAGGTCGCGGCTACGAATGCTGCCAGAATCATGGCTAGGCCCTGTGTATCACTGTACAGAAGTCCAGTTCACTGAGATTCTGGGTCAGGGGAAGACAAGAGAGCAGAGTTGTGATGCATGAAGACAGGAAAACCTCAAGGTACATGGCTATATCTGGCTAGGTACTCAGAGCTAGACCAATAGGGGCATGAACAAGGCTGTGGCTATATAAATAAAATCATCTTGCTTGCCTGTTAACACCACCCTATCAAGAACCCATCTTGTTTATGGCTAGATTCAGCTCAAGGCTTGGGAGATAAAGCCCCATATCCTGCTTCTGGCTTCTACCTCAGAGGGGCCTACCTTGACAAGCCTGGCCAGTCCAAAGTCCCCCACTTTGCAGAGATTGTTCTCTGTAACAAGAACGTTCCTGGCAGCCAGGTCACGGTGGATGTAATTCTGAGATTCCAGGTAGCACATGCCCTCAGCGACCTGTGATGCAAAGTCCACCAGCTCCAAAACAGGCAGGGCTTTTGCATCAGAGTCTGTAGGGTGATCAAAGGCCAGAGTCAGCTGTCCAGAGACCAGTCCTCATTTGCTGTGGCTACAAAGGCTACAGCAAAGAGCAACTGGTCTGGCTTAATTGCAAAGTGGGAAGGCCTAGACCTTCTGCAGTTACGTCCTTAGAGACAAAGAGCACACACATACTCTTTGTCTGACACCGTTTCTGGGAATCATAAAGCAATCTCAGGGCAAAGGCATTGCTATAAGATATTCTTGGTATGTAGCCATCGAACACTCTAGATAATGCAAGTGCTACACCTACAAGGGGCATGAGTTTCATCTCTGAAGACCTTCCCGCAGAAACTGCTCATTATGTGAAACATGTAGACTACACAACTTAACTCTTCCAAATGCTGGTAATATGTTAATACATATCTACCCCCTCCCCCAGGCCTGATCATTTGCCCTACACTATCACGTTCCCCCTCCCTCTTATATGAAGTTGGGTGGCACCTCTACACAGCATCTCAACTGGTGGAGATGGTCTGGCTTTGTGTTGAAGAAAACATGGTATTCTCTGGTGGGTGAGATGAGTTGTATCTACATGTGTGCAGGTGTGTCTGTGTCATGTGAGAATGTATTTGTGTGTGTCAGTGTTATACATATGTTTGGGTATAAGTGTGTATAAGTGTGACTGGACAGCAGATCTTGAGAAGAAAGAGAAGCTGGTAGGTTGAGGTAAGTCACTAGCAGGCTACATAAACCTCAGTTAACTGTGGGGATAGAAATTGTAAGGGAGAGTCCTTTTCCATACTTTTTTTCCATACTTTTTCAAATTTTATGATCTGCAATTGGTAGATTTTTTTTTTGTACTTAATAAATCATTTACATTTTTCCTTTGTTATATATGTACAATGTGTATGTGTACGTGTGTGGAGGTCAGAGGACCACATTGGGTGTTAGTCTTCACCAGTGACATGTTTGAGGAGGGTTTTGTGGTTTGCTACTGAGCCAAATAAAACAAGAATTCTACCACTGCCTCCCATCTCACCGTAGAAGCCTAGGGGTAACAGATGCCTGCTCCTATGCTTGCCTTTACATTAGTTCTGGGGATTCAAACTCAGGTCCTCATGCTTGCCTAGCAAGCACTTTACCCACTGAGCCATCTCCCCTGCCAATTTTTTAAAAAAGATTTGTGTGTATGAGGTTTGTGATGTAATGCATGTACTTGTTACTGAGGGTATGTGTACATGTATACATATGTACGTCTTTCCTTGATTGTCATCTATCTTTTGTTTTGGGTTTTTTTTTTTTTTTGGAGGGAGGGAGGGGGAGAAGGGCTCAAGACAGGGTTTCTTTGTGTAGCCCTGGTTGTCCTGGAGCTTGCTTTGTAGACCAGGCTGGCCTCAAATTCAGGGAGTGGCCTGTCTGTGCTCGCACATATCTGAGCACAGGAGTAAATACATATGCACTATGCTTGGCTTCCATCTTTAATTTTAAAAAATATTTTATGTGTCTTGAGTATTTTTATCTGCATGTATATCCGTGTACCACATGCATGCCTGGTGCCTGCAGAGGCCAGAAGAGGGTATCAGATTCCCTTGAACTGGAGTTATGGATGGTTGTGAGCCACCATGTGGGTGCTGGGAACTAAACCTTGGTCCTGTGCAAGAACAAGTACCTTTAACTGTTAACCCATCTCCCCGGCCCCCTCACCAACCACCACCTTAAAATTTTAGCTTCTTAAACAACTAAACAACAAGCTCATCTGGGAGCTCCTGGCTGTTTTCTGTAGGTCAGGCAGGGACGGGTAGGGTCTGCATATCTGTTGGCTCCTTTGTGTGTGTCTCCTGTTCCTCCAACACTTTTCACCCTGGGAAAGGAGAATAGAGCTTTCCACTCACTGTGCAAGAGGTGTAGCAGGCTCCCCTTGGGCATAAGCTCCGTAATGATGTAGACCGGGTCCCCTGCAGTTGCCACAGCGTACAGTGGCAGGATGTGCTTATGCCGAAGCTTCTTCATGGCTTGAATCTCAGCCTGGAAGGTGTGCTGGTGCAGGAGACTGTCTGAGAGACATCAACCTCAGTGAATACAGCCCTTGACCTGTGCCCCAAGCAGGAGGCCCAGACCTCCTGAAGCAAGTCTGGAAATATAGTCAGCCTAGGAAGACAAAGGCTGGCATCCAAGCTACAACACTAAAGCCACCACCAAGGTCTCAGTGCCCCGAGCCTGATGTGTCCATCTGCCCTCCTGTGCCCCATTTGGTCACAATTACCAAAGTCAACATTTCCCAGCTGAATGTTTTCAAAGCCCTGGCTGACCTGATTCTTGAGGTTTCAGGTATAAACCTGAGGGTGAAGTTGGGATTTTAGGTGAAACTCAAATTTCCAGTGACTTGTTTAAACAACAACAAAAACAGGTACAACTGAAAGAAGTTACTCCCCCACGATGCTGAGGATGCTGAGGAAGTATGTTGGGGTACCCTCAGTGGGGTGTGACTGAAGTGCCTACTGGACGGACTGATGGAGAAGTAGCATGTGACTGAGCTGAGTCGGGCCTGGACCTGCTCACCTCTAGAGATCACCTTCACAGCCACACGGACCTGGTCTTTCCAGAGCCCTTCGAAGACCTCTGCAAAGTAGCCGGATCCCAGCTTCTTACAGAGTGTGAACTCTTCCCTCGGCCTCTCCCAGTCAACCCAGTGGGGCAAGGGCTCAGTTTTGTGCTGGAGAGACAGAAAGGGCAATAGCACTGGTAGGAATAAGGGTTGAGTCGCCCAGCTTGTCACCAGGAAGGGCTTGCCCTAACCCCTCATGAGGAGCCTTATTTATTTTTAAATGTAGATCCGGCATAGTAGTGTCCTATCCTGCATAAATTGCCACTGTCTTCACTGTCCACCAAGGTCAGGGATGGGTACTCAGCAGGAGGACATCTGAGCTCTGGTGAGCCAGTGTAATGATTGATAACCAAAGAGAATGCCATGTCCTGAGCCCCCACCCCCTTCTCTCCATATTGTATTCCACCTGTCTTACCCTGGGCAATTATGTCACAGAGGAGCCAGTGGCCTACCTTACAGCAGGGCATGGACAGCTGTAGACCATGGGACAGGCTCTGGGTCTTGTGGTAGTCCACAAGCTCAGATAGACTGGAAAAGGACACCACCTCATTCAGCTGCAGCTGGCCCGTATCATTCCTCCAGATCCTGTAATGTCGCACAGCCTGAGCATCCCTCACTGAGGTAGGTGGCCGGCAGAAGGAGACATAAGTAGGAATGCTGTTGTGTATGTTCCCCACTTTGCCTGCTCCTGTTCCCAGCCTGGACATTTCCTGGCACTCTCGTCATAAGCCATGGCTATTCTGTTTTCACCACTCCTAGGTTATTGAGCCACAGAGAAATCCCTGTGGAATCTTGGCTTCCATGACACAGAGGCCATACCAAAAAGCAAAAGAAAACCACCCAACCTGAAAAGGAGTGCCTGGTTTTCTGCCTCAAAGCCTGAGGGCAGAAGAGGAAGATAACCAAGACTCTACAATCAGAGGAAAGGCCTCAGAGCTAGCATAGGCAAGGGGAGGTCTGGGAAGCAGTACCAGAGAGGACATAGTCTGCTCCTGGCTTCTGGCTGACTCTGATCAGGAAGGCACCCTTCGAGTTGTCCTCAGCCTGCAGCCTGTGGGTGGCCTCTGAGCGGGAGATGCAACCAAAGAACCACCTGCAGGGGAGAGGCTCAGTTTCAGCCTAGCTGATCCCAACCCTAGTTCCACATCCACCCTGTCTCTCAACTACCTAACCTTTGCCCTGCTTACCTGGAATCCTAGATACTTCCTGGCTCCTGCCTCACACTCCCAACTCCAACTAAGCTGCCTCTTGTGCTGCTCCTAACCCTGCAGAGGTCTCTCTGCTCATCACGGATCCTGAAAGTCCTAAACGGCTGCTTCTGGACACCAAGAAAGGTCCTAGAGGCTCAGAAGTGGGACAGGCAAACTCTGCCTACCATCTTGTTTTGGATGATGACCACCTGGGGATCAGAGCCCCCCCCCAAAAAAAAAGACCTGCAATTCTATGTTGTGAATGTCTCTTAACACATTGTAGGTCCTAAGCAGTAGATACCAGCCTTGGCCCAGAAGTAGGAGAAAAGTCTCAATAGCAGTTCCCCAGAACTGCTTCTAGGCTCATATTTTCATATACAAGTTCATATAATAACCACATAGCAATCTGCACATGTACACTTGTGTGCACACACATACACTGAGATACAGATGCACAAGTGTGCACTCACAATGCACTGACACGTGTCCTCATAATGCACACATGTGTGTACCCATCCATGTACTCATTCGTTTGTATACTTAATGAAGCTTGCATACATACTGGTAAGTACACCGTTATGTACATGCACAGACACGGCGGCACACATGAACATACTCTCCCATTCAAAAGCATTTATACACACTGGCTAGCCATGCAGGGGATGGAGATGCCTGAACTGAACTACAGGTGGAAATCCTTGGAATTCCATAGGTCATCTCCAGCTCAAACTCTGGAAGTCCACCTGCTCCGGTCCTGCAAAGCTACAGAATCTGTCCCACTCTCCCCTCTGACCACTTTGTCTCTGCTTTGTTCCTCCTCTGACATGTTCACCTGTGCTAGATTCTCAGGACCTCAGGGCCTTTGCCTTTGCTATGTTGGCCACATGGTCTCTGTATCTATCCCTGTCTCTATCCTTCTGTTTCTCTGTCTCTCTCTCTGTCTCTCTGTCTTTCTGTCTCTCTGCCTCTCTCTCTCTCTCTCTCTCTCTCTCTCTCTCTCTCTCTCTCTCTCTCTCTCTCT